CCCCCTACTACTAAAATATTTATTGAATAAATCACTAGTAATTTCTTTTTATATGTCCAAGTTTTGACGGATAGAGAAGCGGAGGTAGAAGCTGACATATGGATTTGATCGAGCTATATTTCAACCCCTATATTTGTATATATAAATTCACTAACTATGTACAGTAATTAAATGCAGAATCAAGTCACTAACATCTGAGATAACTATTTTTCGAATTTAGAATTCATAAACACTACGCAAAATTAAAATTAGCTATGAATTTCATTGCTAGTGTGTTGCTGATATTGCTCGTAGCTAACATACTTTTTTGACAATTTATTGCTAAATAGAATTAGCGACTATATAAAATTGTTTGTCGCTAATTCCTGTTTTTTTTAGTGAAAGTTCAAATCTTTGCTCCACTTCAGTCGATATCTATACTACTGAATGATAGCAAAAACTTTATAATCTAAATTAAAATACGCATAAATTGGCCTGAACATCATCGTTACATATATTTTTTAAAAATTATAATAACCAATCACTTGTTGATAGATTAGTGGTGTAACTAGAAATTCAACAAAGTTTTTGACCCTATATATATATGTTTATTTACTGGCTACCTCACATGTGGTGCAAATTGAACAGTCGGTGGAGGAAAATAATTCAAGAATCTTATTGACTTTTAAACCATATGTTATATTTATTATTTATAATTTTCAACAATAGGGAAGACTTTGTATTAACCATTATGAACTGTCTACCATAATCTCTAATTGATAAGCCATTTCCAATATTTTATTGGCTCAATGTTAACAAGCATGATTACTACATTACTTTTTGACATTGTTAGCTTCTTTTTGATAACATTACTGACACTAATGTTTCATCTTATTAATGCCAACTTCACACTCTATAATACCTACCATTCTTATTGACATGACTTGATATTTTTTGAGAGCTCATGTTTTCGTTGAGAATTCATATTAGAGTTTCGATTAAATTTAAATTACGTATTACATGGTCTATTTAATGGTGACACTTTTAATAAAAAAATAATTTATATTCATGACTTAAATTCAAATTTTCTGATTAAGGGTGAAACAATCTCCATATTAGTGCTCTTTTATGTCTTAATTTATGTAATATTGCTTGACTTGATATAAGAAAACGTGTTTTTGAAAGAAAAAAAATATCTTTTGAAATTTATAGTTTAAAATAAATCTCGAATATTTATATGACTATAAATTATTTCGATAAAAATAAACAATAAATTTTAAGTTATAGTCTTTCTAATTTTTTAAAAAAGTACAAACTAATTGGGTAAATGTACCACTATTGGAACAGAACCTATTGTGGCTCATAAATGTTGTTTTAGTCATATAACTATTAGTATAAGAGACCATTATGATATAAAAACATAATAATAATGATAATATATTCGATATAATTTTATAAATCAAGTTTGACGATGATAAAACACATTAGATTTTACTCCTACTTGTAGCAATAGGACCAATTTATATATTAAAATTCTAACTTGTCATGAAACATCATTTTTTACTAGAATGAGCCTTCCGATTATAGGTTCATCTAAATTTATAACTTTTGATATGAAATATATATGAACTCAAAATTTTAATGGCATAAATCATAATAAATTTATTATAAAATTGAACATGTTAAATTTAAATTCTGAATCCAATTCGATTACGCTATTGTCAATTTAGTAGTACTATATTGTGCCTCCTAGACCACGCCTACTGCTTCTGTATCTGCACAAACAGTCTGCATATAGTATAGTACACAGTGCATGTATATAGAATAAAATTCAAATAATTTAATAATTCTGATAAAATTAAAAGCAAAGAAAATTACACAACACAATGGTGGCTAAATGGTCCCTATATAATTTCATAGATTTATGTGCAAACATTATTTGAGTTTTCCTTTTTCTATCTTTGAATTTTAATTACTAAATCTTGAATTGCAAAAGTCCCTAGTGGGTGTGTTTGGTTTTGGCCTTTAACCTGTCGTTTAGTTGTTTTCAATGTATATGTCACTTGATAACATTCGTTCGATGTACTAAGCTCTCGTAGTATTGAATTATAAACACAATACGTATTATTGATAATTAGAAATTCATATAAAATAAATTAATTTTCTTTACTCACAACCTAAAAATCCTTCTAATTGAAGAAAATATTTAATCGTAAATTTAGCTACTTTTAGGATTTTAGTACATGTCTTTCAATATTCATAATGGTATATTTATAGACACCATTAAGTTTAAGAATTACACTAAGTAATGAAGTGTCTAATTAACAAACATTCCTACTACATAGGGCGGTTCAAAATCGAATAGATCATGTGCATACAAACTAATTTAAACACCACCATTAATACAACCTACAACACCATTTGATAAAAACAAAAGATAACACCACCGAGATTTGGTGCAATAGATAGCGTGCGTCATTCTTTAATCAGAGATTTTAAATTAGAGTCTTGAATATGAATATTTTTTTGTAGGAAGTATTTCTCTCGAATAGGTCATACACAACATGAATCTAGATTAGTCGAGATTCAATGAACCGAATGAAAAATAAAAAAATATTGTCTTATACTTCCTTCGTTACAATTTATTTATCATACTTTCCTTTTTAGTCTGTATTAAAGAGAATGCCTCTTTTATCTGCCAACTCTTTAATTTCAATTTCCACCTGACATATGACATGTTTAAAACCATCAAATTATCGAATATCTATACATTTGGCATATTTCTAGTTTATGAACTTCTTTATGACTTTCTTGGTCCCGTATCAAGTCAGAATAAGACAAACAAATTAAAATTACGAAACTAGATCCTTTTATCTCTCAATCTTTACCTTCCACCACTACTATTTATCTTTTCCCAATTTCACATTCTCTTGTTCTCTGTGCTCCATTTTTTCTTGATACAGTTAGGTAGGGCTGCTCACCTTCTTTTGTCAGGATTCTCTCTGCTACTAAAATTCATTTATTTCCCAAAGTCCAACAAATTGATCCAAAAAATATATATATATATTTTTTTTATTAAAAAAAAATCACTTTCAAACCCCATAAAAACCACAATATTAGACCCCCAAAAAAACATAAAAGAGTCAAAAACAACTTCCATATTTTCCTAACTTCCTCAACTTCTCTTTGTCTCTTTTGTTTTACTTCAAATTTCAAAACAAATGAGAACAATAATGGCTAAAAACCAACATGAGTCCTTTTCTTTTTCAAGAAGGTACTTCAATTTCAAGAAAAAAGTTGAAGATGAAGAGTACGATGATGAAGTTTACTTAAATGATTTCCACTCTTCCTCGCTTAGAGGCGAGGAAGAGTATTTTGGGATGCATTCTACAGCGAATGCATCCACAGTAAGCAAGAAACTGTCGCGTTCGACAGTTTCTAAGCTTCGTTCGGCTCTTACTTTTGGTAAGAGCCGAACACAAATAGGGCTTGGGAGTAAAGTTGTTGGTACTTTATTTGGTTATAGAAGAGGACATGTTCATTTTGCATTTCAAGAAGATCCAAAATTGGGCCCAGCATTCTTTGTAGAAATGGCCACTCCTACAAGTCATTTAGTTAGAGAAATGGCTTCAGGATTGGTTAGAATTGCATTAGAATCAGATAAGAGGACAGGGAAAAAAGGGGTGAAATTGCTAGAAGAGCCAATTTGGAGGACATATTGTAATGGTAGAAAATGTGGCTATGCAATGAAAAGAGAATGTGGGCCTGATGAATGGAAGATTTTGAACTCTATTGGGCCTGTTTCAATGGGTGCTGGAGTTTTACCAAGTGATGGTGATGGAATTGGGTTAGAAGGTGAATTAATGTATATGAGGGCTAAATTTGAAAGAGTTGTTGGGTCAAAAGATTCTGAGGCCTTTTACATGATGAATCCTGATGGTCATGGTGGTCCTGAACTTAGCCTTTATTTGCTTAGGGTTTAAACCGTGGCGTCCTGGTCAACTTATGCTATCTCGACTATTTCACTGAGTACCTGTTATGTTCGGGTTGAATTATATATGTATTAGTATATGATCATAAGTTCTTATGAAGACATAAGAAGTTAGTTTTTTATGATGAGTTTGGAAGGAGGGAATATGGTATAATTATGTATTTTTGGTTTGTTTTAATGTACTTTTAGGGTATGGGGAAAACAAATTAAAGATATGGAGGGGGGTGTGAACTATATATGTAGAGACTATGTTTTTCTAGTTTTGTTGAAGTGAAAGATAATGAAGTAAACTTTGGTACTCTCTTTTTTCTATAAGAAGTTTATGAATCTTAATTTCATTTAGATTTTGTTAAGTGAGTTGTGTACTTTTTTTCATTTTGATATAGTCTATTGTTTATATTTAATTTATCATAATCATAAGATAAGGTAGAGTTGGACTTTTTTCTACAAGATTACACCAATGAAATAAATCTAGGAAAGAGTTTAGTTTAGTGTGTTTTATCTAATTATGGCATCTATATTATGTAGGTGATGAATTTCATTGTTGCCTTATTGTTCTTTGGAGAAGCTACTCCGTTGTTCGATAAAAAATATTTATAATCACTGGTTAATATACTTATATATAAGTCGACTATCTTTTGAGTGGGCGACTATTTAAGTTAATGTCACAAACTTCTCATCACTAGGATAGAGTTACCATGATCAAAAGGTATATCAACCCTAGTCAATTAGTGTTATTTTGTCATATGTGCTTGAGCTCCAGTCATGTGAAACTTCAGATATAACGTCTGAAACGAATAGACTTGAAAATTTATATGACGTGCAAATATGGCTTGAATGGTGATTTCAAAATTGAGTATAAATTATGCAACTATTCCACCAAAGAATATTTTTTTTTACAAGAACATATACCTAAACGAGAGCCTTCTAGTGATTACCACACAATCTCCTTTCACCATCAAGACAATTACAAAGTAACACATCCAAATATAATAAACCACTAATAACTTGTTTGAGAGGGAATTAAGAAAACTAGAAGACTAATTATATTATTTTTTTAAAAAGGAAAGTGATGGAGATAAAGTAAATAATTTCTTGCAAAAAGGAGAACCATATTGATTACTCTATTAGATATGATAGTGCCATGGATTTTGATAAAAACAAATATAGCAACATGATTATATGAACCAAATAATTCACCTCCAATTATCTCCAACACGTGTGTTGATGTGTGATTTTCTTGAATTAGAAGCCTATAGTTGATAATTGACTTTTCTTTTTCTTTCATTCGATATTTGAAGTCTCCATTGAAGTCCCGATTAAATTTAAATCACAGGGTTCATTTGGGAGTGGCGCTACCAATACAATTTTTTTCATACTCAAGGCTCGAACTCAAAATTTGTGATTAAGAATGAAACAATCTTACTACTACACCATAATCCATGGTTTCCCTATTCACTTTTTCTTTTTTACTTTTATTGTTCTCTTTATAATTGGGCTCATCTGATTTCAATATAATATGTTCACGTTTGTTAGGCTGAATCAAAAGTTTGTCTTACAAACTTTAAAGGTTATATCTATTTATCTCACTTTTGTCTTCTCCTTTTCTTTTTTTTTTTGTCTAATTTAAGTTTATAACTTTACTATTTATTGTCAAACATAGAATATTTCAACTTTGCTATAGGATAAACTAAATGGACAACTAATCAATCGATTATAAGAGATATAATAAATAATAGACTTTTGTATTGTGTTATGTCGATTGTTATGATCGTATCAATCAAATCCTTATTATACATATTTCAAAACAATAAATGAACCAACTTTCAAATGTATGTAACTATTTGAGATCTCAAGTTCTGAAATGAACAAATTTCCAATAGAAAACACTTTTTTATTATACATATTTCGTGTTATGTCGTGCTATGTCGATTGTTATGATCGTATCAATCAAATCCTTATTATACATATTTCAAAACAATAAATGAACCAACTTTCAAATGTATGTAACTATTTGAAATATTTGAGATCTCAAGTTCTGAAATGAACAAATTTCCAATAGAAAACACTTTCTTCTTAAATAAATTTTACACAACATAAATCCAGATTAATGATCAAACTAGATACCGAGTTAGTTATACGAAGAAACTACTAAAAATTACCAACTCGATTAGTTGGTAATTTTTTTAAAATTGATTATCTATTAAAAATAACTTTTCTATTCGATAATGATAAAGTAACATTAATGTATACCCTATTTTTAAAAAAAGATAATCCTATAATACTATTGTTGTGGTTGTAAATGACTTTTAACTTCTTTTTGTTTTCCTTTCCTCTATTCATTGTCATACTACTTTTTTTTATAAAAAAATAGATTATAGTTTGACTAATGAAATGACAAATTTATATCAAGTAAACATCATGTCAGTGTTATATACACAATGGAAACATAGTTTTATGAGTGGGAAAAAGTAGATGAATACTCACAATCAATTGGTCTCCTTTATAGGGTTCAACTTAGGATATACCACTTGATCTTGTTTTGTTTAGCTTTCTTATTTGTCATTGTCTCTCTATTTTTGTTGCTTATCTTTAATTTCTCTCTTTCTCACTATGGAAAAATATCCAACTAATGTCCTTTCAATACATAACCAAGCAAGGACGAGGTAAAATTTATGATCATTCCTCTACGTTTAATCAGAAATTTCGAGTTTTATGAAAATAAAAAAAATACTTCATATGACATATCATCTTATGAGTGTATTTGATATTAACTGTGTGCTACTCATGTCAATCAAATATTTATGACTATCAAAGTTTAATGACCTTTTTTTTTTTGCATGACAAGAAAAAAATATGTAAGACTTGTAGATAGGCAAAGACATTAAGTCAATCCCCACATCATAACTCTTTTTTCTTTAAATTTGCAAAATTGTTGATTTTAATATAGTGTGATATATCGTCTGTTAATTTGAGGGATTTGTCTATATCTCTTTACTCTATAGATATGTGTTTATTAGTAATAAGGGTATCGATCTGTCAATAGTTCATTAAAAACTTATCAAATTGAATCGTATCAAACTGATTATTAACTTTATTCTATTAAAATTTGTACTCCCTCTGTTTCAAAAAAAATAACCTAATTTTCTTTTTAGTGTGTTTAAAAAAGAATAACCCATTTCCTTTTTTGGCAACACTTTAATTTTAACTTTCCACGTGACATGTTTAAGGCCATAAGATTAAAAGATGTTTTGGTACATTTGATATAACTTTAATTTAGAATCACAAGATTAAAAATCTTCTTTATTTTCTTAAACTCCGTTTCAAATCAGACTAGATCATTCTTTTTAAAACGGAGGGAGTAAAATTTTTTCATTTAAAGCTATAGCATTTCTACCAAATACATGGGTAAAATGATGTTTATTGTTTCTTGTGCATGTCTTATTGTGACCTTGATTGATGGGAAGCTTTTCCTTGTAATAATCACCCTTGAATTCCATAATCTCAATAATTAATGAGAAATCAGCTAGCTGGAAGCAAGATTAGACATAATGATAAGTACATAACCACAAATTGGAGAAAACAATGAATTAATCTCTCCTTTTCAAATTATTTATCGCGGTTTCTAAAAATAATAATATCGATATTCAGTTGGCTGTTGGAAAATCGATATGCTTCATTGAAGTCACTATTTTTGAAGGTTACTAGAAAACACATATATTGATCCAGTTGGCCACACATACCATGATGTCTTCACGTACATTCACGTTTTTCTATTTTTGACAATAAATATGATTTGAAAACACATACATACACATATAGTTGATCACAACATCTGGAATTTGATTTCAAAACGGTTATATCCATATACAGTTGGCCACATATATATAGAAAAAATAAAATGATATACTATATCAGTTAGGACTAGATTTTATATGCGCATGGATACAATATAGAGCAACTTTCAAATATAGCAAACACAAAATTCATATTTGTATGTTATAGCAAAGTTTGCATAATTGCACTCCATTGCAAACATATATATGTATAATTCGCTATACATATACAAAAAAAACAGTTGTATAATCTGTTTTGGTATACATATACAAAAAGATCAATTGTATAAAGTGAGAGAGGCGAATGAGCGAGCGAGATCTGGGAGAGTGGAGAGAGGGGAACGAAAATATATGTATATATACAATTTTCACGCATTTTATACATTTGCGTTTTTGTATAAAGTGAGAGAGGCGAGTGAGAGAGCGAGATCTGGTAGAGGGGAGAGAGGGGAACAAAAATATATGTATCTATACAATTTTCTCTCGCTTTATACACTTGCGTTTGTATAAAAAACGAGAGAGGCGAGGGAGAGAACGAGAGTGGCGAGCGAGATTCACCAGGAGAGAGGTGAAATAGCAACAGTTTGCTATGAGGTACAATTAAATCAAACTATATTTATAGCATTTAATTTGAATTAATAGTTTGCTATTATATACAATTTTTCCTACAGTATATTACGCTACGTTTTACCAAAATAAGTACTAATAAGTAATAGCGCTACTTATGAAATTTTCCCAAAATATTACTACTAGTAGAGCAATAACTTTCAGAAAGGATAAAAGGCTTGTAAGGATACTGGGCTTGCAGCCCATTAATGCTGTATCCCAACCACATAAGGCCCAAGGCTACAACCAATGTAAAGAAAGGCCCAAATAGGCCCAAAAGTGCGACAAGAATAATGTGTTTTGGGGGACTATAGTATGATGTCCTTAAGGTGTCATTTGTTTATGTATGTAATTAAATTAAGAGAAAATTATGCGTATAAGCAAACATATACTAGTTAATTAGTTAAAATAGCTATAGTTTGCCATAATTACAATTCGCGACCTACTTTTAGCTATAACTATGTGGCTCAGCTTTTTCGTTTTGTATAATTCACACGTTTATATAATTCAAAATTTGTATAACTTTTGTATAATTCGGAATTTGTGTAATATAATTTGTATAATTGTTTACACTTCTGATGTTTGTAATTGTATAAATTTGTTATTTCAAGTTTATAGAAAAATGACCGAATTATACAAATGTACCCGCGAATTATACAAACTTGCGAATTATACAAAGGATGCAGCTTAAACTGCAGCTACAATCCGTAAATATGCAAATTATAGCCATGGAGCATAATTAAGTTTATTGTAGTGGCTATTTGTGAAAGTTCCCTGAAAATTAATGTTATGTTTTTTTCTAGGAAGAAATTTACAGAAATCTCACTAGTTTATGAGTTAAATGCTTAGATACACTCTAATTTATAATAT